TGCAAAGTTTGAAGTGGAAAAGTTTGATGGCACAAACAACTTCGGGATGTGGCAATGTGAGGTCAAAGACGTGTTGGCTTAACAAGATCTACTTGCCGCTTTGGGAGAGAAGCCGAAAGCTATGTCGAAGCCGGAATGGGAGAAATTAAATTTGTGGGCTTGCTCTTCAATTCGGTTGTGCCTTGCAAAAACTTAAAAATATTTTGTGATGCGGGAGGCAGTAGCAAGTGTGTTGTGGCAAAAATTGGAAGACAAGTATATGACGAAGAGTGCAAAGAACCGACTACACTTGAAGAAAAAGCTTTACCGCTTCCAATACAAAGAAGGTACAAAAATGATTAGACACCTTGATGTTTTTAATAAGTTGATTGCCGACTTGTTAAATTTAGATGAGGATATTAAGGATGAAGATAAGGCCTTAATATTGTTGAATTCCTTGCCGGACTCTTATGAGCATTTTGTTACCACTATTATGCATGGTAAAGAAACCGTGAAATTTGAAGATGTGTCAAATGCCTTGATGAATTATGAAATGAGGCATAGAGATAAAAATCATGATAGTACCTCTGAAGCTTTATTTGTTAGAGGTAGATCATCGGAGAGGAGATCCTTTTCTAGTAGGAAAAAATCACACTCTCGACCTAGAGGAAACTCTAAAGGTCGAAAAACCTTAGAAATGGATGAATGTGCCTTTTGTCATAATAAGGGCCATTGGAAGAAAGATTGTCTTAGGTTGAAGACCAAAGGCAAAGAAAGGTCTGAAGCTAATGTTGCTGAGGTTGAAACAGATTTTTCTGATTTTGTTTTAACCACTTCCTCATCATTTGATTGTGTTACTAAGTGGGTGTTGGATACGGGTTGTACTCATCATATGACTCCTCACAAGGATTGGTTTTCAAGCTTGAAAGAGTTTGATGGTGGTGTTGTTTTCATGGGAGATGACAATCCTTGTACAACAAAAGGGATTGATATAGTTCGTTTGAAGTTGCATGATGGCATGGTTAAAGAGTTGACAGGTGTTCGGTATGTACCGAATTTGAAGAAAAATATTATTTCTTTAGGCACTTTAGAACCCAAGGGCTTCAAGTTTCATTCAGATGGGCAGACATTGAAAGTTACTTATGGTGCATTTGTTATGATGAAAGCTCATTGATAAGTTCATTTGTATCTATTGCAAGGAAGCACCGTGACAGGTGAAATGTCTGTAGTCTCAGAAAATATGGGCACATCCGATTCAGATACTACTAGACTGTGGCATATGAGATTAGGCCATGCCGGTGAGAAAGCTCTACAAGGGCTTGTGAAAAAAGGTCTTCTAAAAGGTGCCACAACTTGTAAGCTTGATTTCTATGAGCATTGTGTTTTGGGAAAGCAAACTAGAGTTAAGTTTGGTACTGCAGTACATCAGACGAAGGACATTCTTGAATATGTGCATTCCGATGTTTGGGGTCCTACAAAGACTCCCTCTTTGAGTGGTAGACATTGGTTCGTGACCTTTGTTGATGATTATTCAAGAAGGTCTTGGGTCTACATTATGAAGCACAAGAGTGAGGTATTGAGCATTTTCTTGAGTTGGAAGAAAATGGTTGAGAACCAGACTGGGAGAAAGATTACGATTTTGAGATCGGATAATGGTGGAGAATACACATCCGACCCTTTCTTTAAAGTTTGCAAAGAGGAAGGGATTGTGAGACATTTTAGTGTCCGGGGAACTCCACAACAAAATGGAGTTGCATAAAGATTGAATCGAACCTTGCTTGAGAAGGTTAGATGCATGTTGTCTCAGTTAGGTTTGAGCAAATCGTTTTGGGCAGAGACAATTAATTATACATGTCACATCATCAACCGGTTACCCTCAGCTGCTATTCAGGGTAAAACACCAATGGAGGTTTGGACTGGAAAACCTTTTTCTGATTATGACTATATTCGTATTTTTGGTTCACCTGCTTATTTTCATTTGACTGAAAATAAACTTGATCCTAGAGCCAAAAAGGCTATCTTTCTTGGTTTTAGTAGTGGTGTCAAAGGTTATAGATTGTGGTGCCTAGAGATGAAGAAACTAGTAATTAGCAGAGATGTGACATTTGATGAAGAAAGTGTGTACAAAGACTTTGAGAAGAATGTGAAAGATGTTTAACAGGTGGAGCTTGAGAAAGTTGCCTCTGGTACTTCAAATCCTATTTCCGTTGATGTCGAAGCTACTACAAGTGAAGAAGTTGGAGACCATAAGGATGTTGAAGAAGTTGAACTTGAAGATTCTATTCAAGTTGAAGAAAAAGTTTCACCTCAAGAGTCTATTGCCAAGAACAGACGAAAGAGACAAATTACCAAGCCAGCTTGGTATAGTGACTATGTTGCTTTTGCTCTTCCTATTATCATTGATGATATTCCATCCAATTTCGAGGAAGCCATTGAGAGTGAGGAGAATGAGAAGTGGTGCGATGCCATGGGTGATGAGATGAATTCTCTCTTGAAGAACAAGACTTGGGAGTTAGCTAAATTGCCTAAGGGCAAGAAAGCTATTGGTTGCAAATGGGTGTATGCCAAGAAGGAAGATGATGATGAGAAAAGCAATGTGAGATTCAAAGCAAGATTAGTTGCTAAAGGGTATGCATAAAATGAGGGCATTGACTACAATGAAATCTTTTCTCCGGTTATGAAGCACTTCTCAATTCGCATTATGTTAGCTCTTGTTGCACAATATGATCTTGAACTTGTGCAACTTGATGTGAAGACGGCTTTCCTACATGGTGATTTGAATGAAGAGATCTATATATGTCAACCGGATGGGTATACAGTGAAAGGGAAGGAGAATTTGTTTTGCAAATTGAAGAAATCACTTTATGGCTTGAAGCAATCTCCAAGACAATGGTATTTGAGGTTTGATAAATTTATGAGAGGCCAAAATTATTCTAGAAGTCAATATGATCATTGTGTGTACTTCAAGAAGTTGCAAATGGGTTTTTCATTTATTTGTTGATATATGTTAATGATATGTTGATTGCCTCAAAGAATGTTGAAGAGATTGAGAAACTGAAGAAGCAAATGAAGAATGAGTTTGAGATGAATGATCTTGGTGAAGCGAAGAAGATCCTTGGCATGGAGATCACTAGAGATAGAGAGAAGGGTTTGGTCAGTTTGAATCAAAGACAATACCTTGAGAAGTTGATTCGGAAGTTTGGAGTTCATGATTCAACCAAACCGGTTAGTACCCCTTTGGCTCCTCATTTTAAATTGAGTTCTCTACAATGTCCTAAAACTGATAAAGAGAAGTTGCAAATGAAAAATATACCATATGCAAATTTGGTTGGTAGTTTGATGTATGCAATGGTATGCTCTAGACCGGATATTGCTCATGCAGTTGGCATGGTAAGTCAATATATGCATAATTCAGGTAAAGAGCATTGACAAGCAGCTAAGTGGATATTGAGGTATCTCCATGGTACTCGAGACGTTAGTTTATGCTTTGAGAGAGATGACTCTGGTATTGGTCACTTTACAGTTGGTTATGTTGATTCAGATTATGCAGGTGATCTGGATGGAAGGAAGTCTACTACAGGTTATGTGTTTACTATGGCTAAAGGGCCAGTTTGTTGGAGGTCCATTTTGCAGTCGTCTGTTGCCTTGTCTACTACAGAGGCTGAATATATGGCAGTTGCTGAAGCTATAAAGGAGGCCATTTGGATACATGGGTTGATTAGAGATTTGGGGGTTAATCAGAAGCAGGTGGAGGTACATTATAATAGTCAGAGTGCCTTTTATTTGGCTAAGTATCAGGTTCATCATGCGAGGACCAAGCACATAGATGTGCATTATCACTTTGTGCGTGAAGTCGTTGGTGAATGAGAGATTATTCTCCAGAAGATTCCAACTAAAGACAACCACGCTGATATGTTGACTAAGGTTGTTGGTGTAGCCAAGTTTGTTCATTGTTTGAACTTGACTCACATTTTGCCTATATAAAGAAGGCGTTGAGCAGTAGGAGTTTTGAAGCATTTGGCTCTGCTTAAGTTATTCTCTTGTTACTTTTGGGAGTGGTTTGTGTTGATTGTTGATTATGTTGGTTTGGCTCGTCATGGCACTTTCGGAATTTGGCCAAGATGGAGATTGTTGGATTAGTGGCCAAATTGGATAGGCCTTTATGTAAGCCCAACAACCTATTTAAGGGGCCTTCTTTTCTAGCCCATGTGAAAGTCACGGGTGACTTATGGTTTTTATTTGGTAGCAATTGCTGCTTTTGATTGTAGAAAGGCAGTCGCATAGCAACTAAAACAGAGAGTAGCACAGAGAAGAAAAGAGCCACTGCCGCAGCCCCATTTCAGAGAAGGAGAAGTTGTTGCTTCTTTCATTGGTTAGCTATCACTCCATCAAAGTTGTATTTGTTGTATTAGCTTTGAGCTTTGTATAGAGAGGAAATTATTCATTATATTTCTCTCTATTTGTTTCTTTGGTGTGTGAGAGTTATTGGTTGTATTGGGGTTTTTGGATTGTGAACTTGCCAATACTTTGTAAACTCCCATTTGGTTGATAGTGGATTATTGGGTGAGCTCCTACTGCTCCGAGGACGTACTCCAGTTACACTGACTGTTAAGGAACCTCGTTAAAATCTTGGTGTTCTTTTATATTTTGTTCTTTCATTCCATTTGATATATTTCCTGTGGGTTAACTTGAGTTGGTTTCAACGGGTTTGGTGCTATCCTAGCACAACAGAAGGGGCTTGAAATCCTCCGCGGAAAATAAAAAACTCTAAGGATCCTTGACGCAAGGAAAAATGAGAAAGCAAAGCTTTCACTTAGACAGGTTGGTGATGGGTGGTTAGCCCAGGACTCGGACGATTTAACCCCCCAAGATATACAGTTCAAAGCTGTTTCCGAGAAGGCTCCGCAAGAAAGTGAGCTTGCTGATGCAGAGTTCGCATGGTTGTGCGTCAAGCATGTTAAAAGCAATGCAATTGTTATAACAAAGGTTGTCGTTCTTTGTTTTACCCCGCGCCCTCACATTTAATATAGTTTCGGTAGGCTATTTTGAGGGTTTGCACTTTCGGACAAATATCTGATCCTTGACTTATGAGCAGAATAACTGCATGCTGGGCATGGGGAGTGGGCAGCCTAACCGCCTGGAGAGTTCAAGAATAGCCTTGAAGAAAGCTGGAGAAGAGGTCAAGGGTGCAGCTTTGGCCAGTGATGCCTTCTTCCCATTCGGTAATTACGATATCATGCATCAACTTTTGTTTATGTTATTTAACAGTGGAGTGCAAGACCAAGTTCAACGAGATCAGTTTCTTCTTATGCTAAACTGAAAATACAGGGAAGTACCTCTATAATAATCTGAATGATGCTCATTTTACAAGCAGCATGGAAAGATGCAGTGGAAGAAGCCTGCCAAAGCGGAGTTAGTGTAATCACAGAACCCGGTGGGAGCATTAGAGAGGGGGATGCTGTAGACTGCCGTGACAAGTATGGAGTTTCACTTCTTTTCACAAACGTGAGGCACTTCAGCCATTGACAACGTTTTTGTCCTTGGTGCTTCGATACAAGGACCTTAGGTCTCGATCCGTTGTTTTCATAAGAAGATAACTAGGTTCTCTCACGGAGAAGTTCCTGTATACATGCTTGTTTGACATCGAGGCAAATCATAATTTTTTTCGTAATCTGAATGCGGATTTGAGGTACCATACGTTAATAACTTTGCTCTCATCAGAAAGAGATGAAATAGCCCTTTTGGAGGAGTTGTATTCTTCAGGAGAAGTTACCCGTTGAAGACAATTGTACCTTCACACATGATTACGCATATTGTGCAAATCATGTTATCATAATCACATTCCAACACTATTTAGCTGGGTCATGCTTGGTTTGGGTGAGCGAATTTCTTTGTTCACATCCCTTTTACATGCATGCGTAAAGGTGGGAAGAAAAACAAAAAACTGCCCTTTCTGATGTGAGGTTTTTAATGGTGATTGGGAGAGCAATTTATCTTAAGCAACAAAGGAAGTTGGGAACCCGTTTTTGGTTTATTGAAAGGAGAATTTGGAATTCTAGAAGCCTTTTTTCGAAGGCTGAAAAAAACTTTTCCCCTCTTTTCAAATATTCCATATTTTACCTTTTTTTGTACTGAAGAAACTCAACTGATTGTTTGAGTTTAATTGGATTCAAATCCGAAGTTACCCAAGGAGACCCCCTCAAGAACAAAAAAAAAAAAAAAAAAAAAAAAAAAAATTGATTACTCAAATTGATCGGAGAGTACAATAAATGAGATTCACTCAATCCATTCATCATACTTGTGAACTTCTTCCATAACCCTCTCAATAAGTGGCCACACAATGTTTCATTTGACTGATTTTTGTACTAATGATTCTTGAAATAGGACTTTAAAAATCGATGGTCCCGACCATTACACTTCAAGCCAAAAAATTAAAAATAAAAGAATATATTAAAATGTAGATGTACACCCCTATATATGTATATTTACATATCATACCATAGTATCGAATTCGCCTTCTACGAGATTCAAACCTAAGACCTCTCACTTCTAAGCGAAGAGGAATACAATAAAACCGTAGTACTGAGTGGCTTACACTCTAGTAGTTGTTATGATGAAATTTGAGGATTCATCTAAAATCAATTAGCAATAAGAGGAGACTTCTTATATGTCCTTGCGAGGATTCTTAACAATTCTGGTAAATAGGTCGTATTTGTATCATTTTCATGTTATACTCGTTATCTTAACGGTCTTAATCTTGTATAACGGTATTACTTGGATTACTTTAGGGAATCTGTTGGTCTTTTTAAATGAATTCTTTTTAGATATTTTATGCAATCATTTTATACATCAAGGTCTAAAAGATTAGAGTTGAGCTATAATAGACATGTAATAATAATTTAATGTCAAACTCGCCCTTCATATAAGTCAATCCTAAACCTCTAACTTATAAGAAAGGAGTACCACTAGACTAGACTTGTCATTGAATCAGATTTTAATCTGGATCTGATCCAAATTCGATATGGATCGATCGAGACTTTCAACCCAATTATTCTTCATAAGATCCGAATATGATAATCTGATTATATGTGGATCATGACAAATAGTGTTTTGAATTAGAAAAATGGACTTGGATTATTTGCCCTGCTTAACTATACTAGGCTATCCGTCTTGACTACTCAAGAAAAGAAAATTTCCATGATGATAACACATATGTAGACCTGTAAAGGATTTTCACAATCAGATCATCATATCTGACTTGTAGATCCATTTTCGATAAGCATCAGATTAAGATTAAACCAATCCTTATTAGATCTATTTCAAGACCTGGAAAAACATGAATTTATCATTAGTAACTTTGTCTTTTATTAAATTGAACTATTTTCAATTAGAAATTTTCATATTGCCCTAATAAGAAAATAGGGTATAAGTTTATTTTCAAAATAATATGAAAATTAAATAAGATGTTTCGGATAATCGTATTAAAAGTCTTGACAATTACATCAAATTCGAATAGGATCCGAATCAAAATCCAGTCTACACATATGTAATATAGCATTGATCCAACGAGGAATGCTTGGAATGTTGATTCCAATGGGGGTTCCAAAATCTATCTCCATATACATTTGCTTCACCTTCTTCATTTATCTTTTTCATCTATCTCCAAAATGGAAAATGAAAACTAATTACAATAAGAATGTATAAGTGATGCTCACCTAAGGACCACTTTTTAAGGTGCTGTGAAAGACAAACTGATTGCAAACCATTAGATTAATCTAACGGTTGAAATTCTTAAGGACTTATTCTTAAGGCAACTTAGTACTATGGTCTAGTGCTATTCTTTTTTACTTATAAATGAGAAGTCTTAGGTTCGATTCTCGTCAAAGGCAAATTTGAACTACATTATTGCTAGCCCATTGTGAGGCTTAACTCATTTTCTCACCTTTTAATGTAAATAATATCGTTTGTTCGGAAAAAAAAATAACAACAAAATATTCGTGCAGAAGAAATAACAAACACAAAATTTTCTGAAAGCATTACAAAAATGGCTAGATAAAGAAAATGAGTGTTAAATGTTGAGCCATTTGTTTATTGAAGGAGTAAAAGTGAAAGCAAAGCTTTATTTATTTTTAGTAAATAAATCATGGTTTTACTTAGGGTAAATTACACTTTACCACATCAGGTTTGAGATATATTGCAACCCCATACAACATCTTCAAAACATTTCACTTTTATACCTCAAGTACTATTTTATTTCAATATAATATATCCGTTACATTTTTCATCCATTGATCTGTTAAGAGCTGATACGGCTGCCAAATTTGTGCCATATGACAATTTTTTTTAATTTTGTTTATGGATTTAAAATATAATAATTTACTCTATTAAAAAAAAAACAACCTGAAACCCATTCCCCTTCCTCGCAACCCCCAACCCAAACCCTATATCCCATGTCTTCTCCGATCCACTCTTCCCTCTTCATCTCCTCGACCCACTTCTCCCTCTCCTCCACTCTCTTCACCTCCCCTCCCTTCTCTTTCCCCATATCAACCTGCACCCAACCCTATTAAAAAACTAAAAGAGGTTACATTTATTGAAATCTCTTTTGGAAATTTTGTGGGATGTTCCTAACATAAGAACAATTGCTTTTTTTGGGTTTCTGGGTTTGTGTTCATCTTCAGCTGGTGAACAACAAAAGTTTTCTCCCTGGTGACTTCAGATCCAAAAACTGCGAATGTCGTGTTCATCTTGGATTACAGAAGAAAAACACGGGGCTGGAGCAAAGTCGTTGATTTCGGGGATTCGTGGGGTTTTAATGTGTTGTTGAACTCGGGGATTGCTGAAGCTCGAGGCTTCGTGGTGGCTGCAGTGTGTTGTTGAAGGTGAAGGCAGAGAATATCCGGGGGCTGATGGACGAGGTTGGTGACGGAAGAAGGGGTGACAAGGGGTGGGTATGATGGGGGATGGGAGAAGGGGGGTGCTCGGGTGGGGAAGACGAGGTGGGTCGGGGAGGTGAAGAGGGAAGAGTGGATCAGAGAAGACATGGGATTTAGGGTTTGGGTTGGGGGGTTGGGGGGAAGGGGAAGGGGAAGGGGAATGGGTTTCAGGGTTTTTTTTTAATTTTTTTTATAAATAGAGTAAATTATTATATTTTAAATTCATAAATTTTTTTTGCCACGTGGCACAAATTTGGCAATCACATCAGCACAAATCTGGTAGCCACGTCATCTCTTAGCAGATCAATGGATGAAAAATGTAACGAATGTATTATATTGAAATAAAATAGTACTAGATGTATGAAAGTAGAATGTTTTGAAGATGTTGTATGAGGTTGCAATAGACCTCAAACCTGAGGTGGTAAAGTGTAATTTACCCTTTACTTAACTTGATTAATATTGTTCAAAATCAGATTGGATTCCTTGGAGGACCTAGATGCTTTCTTGGAATGATTGAATCTTTGAACATCTTGGGGTTGTCTAATGAAAGTTTCAATACATTATGTGGGTTTTTATACTTTAATTTTTAGAGTTTCATGGTTTAGTCCTTCCGATTGTTTGCAAAATCCGTCCAAACAAAGAAAATGTTTCTCAACCCACTTGAACACTGTAATCTTGTTATTACTCTTTCGAAGATGACCCCCTGATTGTTTTTAGTGAAATACCAGTTAACTGAGTTTTTTTTTTCTAATTAATTGTAATTGGAAAATTTTCTTTTCTTTCAGTTGACTATTTCGGTGAAAACAGTTATTCTTTAGTTTTCTGCTGTTGGAAGTTTACTTCATGGAAGAAGGCTCGTGTGAATTGATAAATTAATGGAGATACGTACGGTTCTATCTTATATGCTTCATCAATAAATATATGCATATAATTGATAAATAAGAATATGCATATAAAGATGCACAGTTACCTGCCCTGAGCCCTCCATCTAAGTTGGTGTGCCGGAATAGCTTGTGATGAGTTGACATTACAAAAAGAAAAACTCGTTATGATATTTGTACATCAATTTCCAGATATTATTTAAAAGAAGTAGAGATTCTGTTTTGGCACTAGTAATAAAACAAACATATATATATATATATATATATATATATATATATATATATATATATATATATTTCAACGCATGCATCATGACTCGATATTAAATAACGATAAGGCTTGTCTGCCCACTTCCAGTGCCCTTCCGTACATTTCTGTTTGTGTGGTCATGGTTAAGCACGTCAACATTTTATGTTACTATTCATTTTGGTCTTACTATCTCTATAAAAAAAATATAAAATGTTGGCTTGGCTTAACCGTGACCACACAAAACAAGAGGGCACCGAAAGTGGGAGGGCAGACAATCCTTGTCCATTAAATAATTAAACAAAGATACATCAAATAAATAAACAAACATATATTTTAAGGCATGCAGGATGACCTAAGAGCAAAGCGTTTAGCATGCTAGGAGTCCGGTTTTCCTAAACTTTAGGGTCTAAGTAAATCGTGATCACGTATTGTTCAATCATATTCACCAGTAGAAGATCATATAGAACAACAATAATTAAGGATCATCTATTGCTAAATTAAGATCAAGCAGTA